GGCGGTTTGAATGCGCTTGTGGCTCTTGCTGCGCATGCGCATTCGGAGCTGAGAGGCGGAGGGATCCCCAGCGCCAAGGGAGTCCGGCACTGGAGAAAGGTAAGTGCTGAAGACACACACACACACACTCTCACAAACAGACGCATACACACTAGCTAACAGACACACACATTTACTGACAGAGACACACTCAGCGACAGACAGACATACACACTCACTTACAAAACATACACTCTCACTGACAAACACACACTCACTAACACACACACAAACACACTCAGTAACAGACACACACAGTAACACACTCACTGACACTCACGAGCAGACACACACTCAACAGACACACTCACACTAATACACACACTAACACACACACACACTAACACACTAACACTCACACCAACACTAACACACACTAACACACACACTAACACTCACACTAACACACACTAACACACACTCACTACTAAACACACTAACACTAACACACTCTAACACACACTAACACACGCACTAACACACTCACACTAACACACACACTAACACACACACAATCACACTAACACTCACACCAACACTAACACACACACTAACACTCACACTAACACACACTAACACACACTCACTACTAAACACACTAACACTAACACACACACTAACACACACTAACACTAACACACACACACACTCACACACTCACACTAGCACATGTTTTTTTAAATTTAATCCCCCAGCCTCCTTACCTTTTGGAGTGCTGAGGGGATTCCCTGTGGTCCAGTGGTGCTGCTGGGCTCCTGGGCGGCCGGTCACTGGGCAGGTGGGCAGGCTGGTGGGCGCGCAAGGGAGCACTCTCCCCTGAGTGCTTCCTCTTCAGCTACCTTGAGCGCCACGTAGGGATGCCGGTGCCGGAAGATGACATAATCTTCCAGCTCCGGTATCAGTACGCAGCGCGCGAAGGAGCTGAAGAGGAAGCACTCAGGGGAGAGTGCTCCCTCGCATGCCCGCAGGACCGGCCGTGGGGTGACAGCAGGGCCAGCCTCAGGGGGGCCCTGAGGTGGCCGGCTCCTGGGCCCCCCAGGAGAAGAGGCTGACAGTGGGTACATACCGGGTCGCAGGGGCGGCCGGGCCCCCTGCGACCCTGGTATGTACGCCACTGACTGTATGTATGTGATCTGAGCGCCATTCAGTAATAATGTGCCCTCAGATCTAAGCTATCTGGGGATATGTAGAATGTGTATGTTCTATGTGATAAATGAAACAGTATGTATTTTTATGTCTTTTATTGTCCTTTGTCTGCCATGTGGTTAATGGAGTTTTGCCTCTGTCCAGGACAGAGAGGAGGGATTGTGATGCATTGTGGGATTGTAAGCTTGTGATTGGTCAATGTCCAATATATTTCCCAGTCTTCCATCTGGTACCCTAGGGGAGTGTCCACCAGGTGGGAGACCTGCATAAAAGCCGGGCAGGTAGCCCCAGTAAATCAGTTCTGCTTGACCCTCAAACGAAGTGTCTTCTCGTTCTTGGGGGGAATTGGATTGTATGCTGTTACAGTGCGACTGCCAGGAGTGTAAACTGTTCATATCGTTTTTCCTGTTTGGGAGTTTGGAGCATTTCCCTGGTTCCAGTTCGGGAGATTGGTGAATTCATGTGTTTGCAGTTCGGGAGATTGGTGAATTCATGTGTTTGCAGTTCGGGAGTTTGCGTATTCATGTGTTTGCAATTCGGGAGATTGGTGACTGCAATAGCTGTCTGTGCATCTGGAAAGGGGAATATCGCCTAAACGGTTTTTAACCTCTTGTGTGCAAAATGGTCCGTTACACCAGCCTCTCCAGGTTTTTATGCACATACTGCCTCTGTTTTATAGAGTTCAAGCTCTTTCCTCTGCATCACGTAGTTAATACATGTACATGTGCATGCATGAACTACAATCTAGGCAAGCTCCAGTCACATAAAATATAAAACTTCTACTCCAAAAGTTTGTCATATGACATAATCCAGAGGTTAAGAAAGGGAGGGAGTGAATGGGATAAGAGGGGACAAAAAAGGATAGCAAAGAAGAAGGGAGGGTAGAAGGGATTGGAGAATGAAGAGGACAGAAAGAAGGAAAGAAAGTTGAAGAAAAAGGGGGATGGAGAGAGAAGTGCGCTGTGAGAACAGAAGAGGGAGAGGGATCCCTTTCCCCAAATTCTCCTCAATCCAGGGCTCCCAGATTTCTTGAATTGGGAAGAAGGATCCAGTAAAGGAGTTACATTTTAGTAATTAATATATATACAGAGATGATTATTTGACTTTCAAACCAGGAAAAATTAATAGTACTTACTTCCCAAATTGCACAAAGGTCCACATTTGTGTCAAAAATAATTTTCCCACTTTCATCCACTGGCATAAATTCTCCTCCAGACTGAAAGTAAATGAAACACGTTAACCTTTTCACGACAGTTGATAATGTAATTTGAAACTTTGACCAAAATTGTTACAATAAAACAAAAACGACTTTAATTATAACATTCTTTTAACTTGGCTATTTTTGATTAATTACACAGGTAACTTGTCAACTCATCCTAACTACTGGGATAGTTAATACACCAGGGAGCAGGGGCATGTGCAGCTTTGCTAAAGCAGTTGGAATCTTGGTTTAATTATTATAATCAAAATAGTATTTTTAAAGGATCACTATAGGGTCAGGAACACAAACATGTATTCCTGACCCTATAGTGTTAAAACCACCATCTGGGCCCCTCGTGCCTCCATAAATATAGCAAAATCCTACTGTATTCAAGCCTGAAGCTGTAACTCTGTATGCTGTTTGTCTCAGAAAAACAAGCTGTCTGCTAACATGATTAGAAGTGGTAGCCTGATCCAATCACAATGCTTCCCCGTAGGATTGGCTGAGACTGACAAAGAGGCAGATC